CAAGGATCATCCTTGAGGTTGTATAATTGGGAATAATAAGTGCAGAACGCGTCTGCTATTTTATTGGGATGATAAGTCCCTGTATTAGAAGTAGGATCTAAGAGAGAAGATATTTAGAATTTCGCTTGTCTAGTTGTTAAGTACTGTATTTTTCGCTCTATAAGACGCACTTTTTTCCCCCAAAAAAAGGGAAGAAAATGTCAGTGCTTCTTATGGAGCGAATATAAAGTGGCCGATATTTCTGCCGCCACCATGTCAGAATATCGGGCTGGCCACTCAGCTCTTCTCTCCTGCAGGACCTTACCTGTTCCTCGCTTCAGCACTGTACAGTCTTCCCGCGCTGGCTTCTGTGACAGGCAGGTGCCCATTGCACATGCACGAGAAGCGCTGCACTTTGTGAATGGTCCGGCGTCTTCTGGGACAGATGACAGGTCCCAGAAGGCTCCGGACCATTCACAAAGTTCAGAGCTTCTCGCGCATGCGCAGTGTGCACCCGGCTGTCACAATCCGGAGCGGGAAGAAGGAAGGACAACTCCGTGGAAGTGGGAGCAGGTACCTGTCAAATTCAGGTACCCGCTCCCCCTCCCTCCCTAAAGGTCCGCAGTCTCTGGTCATCTCCTTTACTGTCTGCAGTCTCTGGTCATCCCCTGCACTGTCTGCAGTCTCTGGCCATCTGTACTATGTCCGCAGCCTCTGGTCATCTCCTGTACTGTGTCCGCAGTCTCTGGTCATCTCCTGTATTATGTCCGCAGTCTCTGGTCATCTCCTGTACTATGTCCGCAGTCTCTGGTCATCTCCTGTACTATGTCCACAGTCTCTGGTCATCCCCTGTACTGTGTCCACAGTCTCTGGTCATCTCCTGTATTGTGTCCGCAGTCTCTGGTCATCCCCTGTACTGTGTCCGCAGTCTTTGGTCATCTCCTGTACTGTGTCTGCAGTCTCTGGTCATCTCCTGTACTATATCCGCAGTCTCTGGTCATCTCTTGTACTATGTCCGCAGTCTCTGGTCATCCCCTGTACTGTGTCCGCAGTCTCTGGTCATCTCCTATATTGTGTCCAGAGTTTCTGGTCATCTCCTGTAGTGTGTCCGCAGTCTCTGGTCATCTCCTGTACTATGTCCGCAGTCTCTGGTCATCTCCTGTACTGTGTCTGCAGTCTCTGGTCATCTCCTGTACCGTGTTCGCAGTCTCTGGTCATCTCCTGTACCGTGTCTGCAGTCTCTGGTCATCTCCTGTACCATGTCTGCAGTCTCTGGTCATCTCCTGTACTATGTCTGCAGTCTCTGGTCATCTCCTGTACTGTGTCCGCAGTCTCTGGTCATCTCCTGTACTGTGTCTGCAGTCCATTGGTTCAGAATTTTTTTTTTCTTGTTTTTCTCCTCTAAAACCTAGGCGCGTCTTATGGTCAGGTGCATCTTATGGAGCGAAAAATACGGTATTTTGCTAACATTTTACCCGCTTTATTCCCTTGTGTATAAAATGTAGCCTTAGTCTTTTTTAGGTATTGACCCTGTCGCCCTAAAAGTAGAGTCCTAAGTTTCAGTCTAGTGGTTTGAAGCTCCTGAAGAGTGCCAGGAGATAAAGTTTGTTTATGTGTGTGTTCAAGTTTAGCAATTAGCTCCATGGTGTCAGAGAGAATACGGTTCCTATCCCGTTTAGCCTGAGATTCCAGTTTCAATAGTAAACCTCTACAGTACGCTTTATGAGTGCACCATACATTAGTTGCACTAGTATCAGAAGATAAATAACAGCAAAAATACTTCTCTAAAGCAGCAGTAATAACAGGGCGAGATAAATGATTACAAAATATGGAAACATCGTTACGCCATAAGAATACTGGAGTAAATGTTAAAGTCTCCTCAATGCTTAAAGAAATAGGACCGTGGTCCGACCACGTCATCGGATGGATCTCAGCTTTAGAAATATTTTGTAGCAGATGGAAATCCATAAGAAAAAAATCTATTCGAGAATATAATTTGTGAGGTGCTGAGTAATGTGTGAAGTCCCTTTCAGAAGCATGAAGGCATCTCCAGGAGTCATAAAGGTTGGCTTCCGAGATGGTCTGGGCTAGGGACTGTCTCAAATGCCGTGAAGGGTTGGAGGTATCCAATGAGTTGTTAATAATAGTGTTGAAATCTCCACAATAAATAAAAAAAACCCTTTGTATTTTTGCTACTTTTTTCGGCAAGGAGTTGAAAAAATGAACCTGAAGTGTATTAGGGGCATAAAGGTTCACAATAGTGTAGGTAATGTTGCCGCACTTCTTAGCAGGGCCATTAGATGTGAAGATGTGTGGGAACAGGCGGTTAGAGCAGTTTGGAGCTTTAGATGCCTAAAAATGGGTTTCCTGAACACAAAGCACATCGCCATGTAGTCGTTGGGCTTCTTTCCACATCATCTGGCGTTTGAAAGGACTGTTAAGGCCATGAGCATTCAATGAGACAATTTTTAATACCATGAGAAAGCTTGGGAATGTGATGCATGGTTGCCTACATGTGGTGGAAGCAAAAATAGCATGGAAGGATTTGGAAGCCATAATTGTACTCTTACGTGAACCATGGTTTTCAAACGTGGGCGAAGGAGGTGCGTCCCTCGAATAGCGACATAAGATGACCTGCCGAGATCCAGTAGTATAAATGGTGTTGCTGCTCTGAGGAAAAACACACAAAAAAAGAGGAAAAACTGATGAAGAAAAACAAAACAGAAAAGTAACACGTAAGTTCGCGTGAAACAAATCACTCGACTGGATGGGGGGGAAGTACCGAGGCAAGCAGCCTATCCAAACTTGCAGAGGGTAAAACATAAGGCACCGGAGACTGTGGGTGGAACCAGTTGCATGCGTCATCTAGCTACTTGTTCCCACTCTGAGGGACTTTTTCTGGGGAGGGTTTAATAGGCATGATTTCCTCATCGCTGGGATAAGGCCCCATTTTTTGGCAAGTTTGAAAGTCATCTTCTTCCGAAGTGACCATAAGAACTCGATTGTCCTTTGTAATCAGCAATTTGGTAGAGAACCCTCACTGATATTTGATATTGTTGTTGCGCAATAATTTTGTGAAAGAAATCAATTTCTTGCGAGCTAATATGGTGTGTTGAGAAAGGTCAGCAAACAGAGAGATCCCGCTGTAAGGCGCTGGTAGTGGACTATTCTTCCACCCAAACAGCATTAGTTCCTCTTTCACATGATAGGAATGGAATCTCGCAATTATATCACGAGAGACATGAGCTGGGAGAAAAGAGGGTTTCGGCAGTCTATGCACCCTATCCAGCACCACCTCCCTATTCGGAGTATGCGGCAACAGTGAAGATATCATTTGTTGAATAAATTTGAGATCTGTGACAGGAGTATCTTCACCAATCCCCCTAAATTTAATGTTATTTCTGCAGGAAAGTTCCTCAAAATCCGCCATTTTCGCCTTTAGTGCTTTCAGCTCATCCTCAACTTTGTTGTGGGATCTACTAATTCGTTATGAGCAGTGGCGAAATCCCCCATTTTAGTTTCCACATGTGATACCTGCTCTCCAAGGTTTTCCACCTCTGTATTGATCTGCATCATAAAGCTCATCATATCTTTATGTAGGGATCCCTTAACCCCTTCACGCCGGCACCTCCCAGCCCTTTAAGAGTTTCAGAAGCCGGGAGGCGAGACGGACGGGGTTTAGGGATCATGTGACCGCTGTGACACGCCATCATGGCAGTCACATGATTGGGAAAGGTCCAGATCGAAAGAGGAGACCGGGACCTTTCCGTGAGTACTGGACACATGTGCTGGGAGCGCGTAGGGCGCGCGCTCTCAGCACATATGTTTTTTTTATTAGAATGCAAATGTGCGGCTGCTCAGCGTCTTGGCCCAGGTTAAGGGTAACTAACATATCTTTCATAACTGTAGCAGTATGCGGCATAGATTTCACTGGGTAATCCTCCAGGTTTTCTATAAATTCTCTTGTGGTATTTTGAGAAAAGGAATCAGAAAAGTGCTCACCCATCTGTTCCACCTCTGGAGAGAATTTCTGTTTGTTCTTGAGGGGGCTGCAGGATGGTGTTCTCATGGTAGAGCCTGTCAGCTCTGTTTGCACAGCAGGGCTGGAGGCATGCAGGAGGGAACTGTGATTGCTCCGTCCTCCTGTCCCCGTGTGTCAGCAGAGGGACAGGGACCGGCGCCATTTTGAGAGGAGGGGGACCCGCTGGAGCGAAGAACAATTTGCGGGGGCCCTTATTTTCCTCTTCCCCATTCTCCGGGGATATACCCCACACTTCCCTGGTGGCAGCGGGATGTCAGCGGGGTCTCCCACTGTGGGTCGTCGCTGAAAGTAGCTGCTGTTCTTGGAGGTTCACGGAGCTCCTCTACAATGCAGCCATCTCCGTCTGCGGCCAGCCATGCCCCCGGCTATTTCTGTTTCAATGACAATTAAAAATGTTACAGTAGATCTTTCCCCCATTGAAAAATGGTAAATAGGACAATGGTAAACAGGACAGATAACCGGAGGTAATGTCTCCAGTAGAGACCCAAAGGATTGTAACCCTTCACTCTAACCAAAACTACAAAAAAAGTTTAACCACTTGTCATCCATGGCAATTTTGACATTTCATACATACATGTTAAAATTAACATTATTTTTGCTAGAAAATAACTTAGAACTCCCCCACACAATATAGGCCCTGGAGAATAAAATGGTACTATTGCAATTTTTATGTCACATGATATTTGCGCAGCCATTTATCAAGTGCAAATTTTCAGGAAAAAAATGCACTTAAATGAATTTTAGTGCATAGAAACACAATATAATACCTAGACATGAGCGAAGTATTCAAAAATTCGATTCGGCTGATTCGGCGAATTCGAGGAATAAATTTGATTCGATGCGAATATATTCGCTGCGAATTTAACTTATAAAAAGGGTGTTTCTAGGCTTCAGAGAGCCTTTATATTAGTGCAGAACACTGTACCTTTAATTTAAATGCCCTTGGAGTCTGCTGGGGAAGAGAAATAATACTGACAGTCAGTATGACATGCAGATGAGTGCCGTCGATCTTAGAATCACCGCACACTTCACTCATTTGGGCAGTCACGGGGTCAAAACCAGAGTGTGGAGCCACAGTGTGGCGGTGGAGGCAGCAGCAATGGGAGGCCATACAGCACCCTATGACAAAATGGAACCCACCAGCAGTGTGAGGAGACCTGAAAGTGGCAGCAGCAATGGGAGGCCGTACAGGGACCCATGAGACACTCTGGACCTGGCAGAAGCATGAGGAGGCGGTACAGGGGCCCATGACAGATTACGGGCCTGGCAGCAGCATGAGGAGTCGGTACGGGGGCCCATGGCAGATTACGGGCCTGGCAGCAGCAATGGGAGGCCCGTAACACTGTTCAACAGGTAAAAAGTTTTGGGCATAAAATTAGCTAATCTTACATAATTTTGGGTGTACTGAAAACGAAAATGACCCTAAAAAAATGTTGATTGGCTCTAGTAGTTTCCATGATAATATATTCACCCATCTAATGACGTAAGCCATTCAAAATTATGATGCAACTTCAGCTGCATATTGCGCAATTGATACTGCAGTGACCAATAGAAAATTGCATGTATACTGAGATGATGCAATATTAGCCTTTTTAATTACATCACAAGCCTTTAATTGCATGATCACTTTCTACTGCATAAAATGCTGCAGTATCTGTAGCTGATTGTAGTTCGACAGCGTCTTTACATTTCGTTTTATGCTTATATAGGCTACTCAGTAATGCCTCGAACTTGTGTGTGAATAAAGCAGATAATTTCTGCTATATCTGCGGTGAAATAAACTTTTATCTCACAAAAAAGGAGGATAACAGGAATGATTAAGAAAGCCTACAACTTGTATTTTGGCTGCAAGATAGGAGACCAGGACAAGAGCTGGGCACCACATATATGCTGCAATTCTTGTGGGACGGCACTGGAGCAATGGTTGAATGGAAAATGGAAAAAAAGGCATCTATGCCTTTCGCTGTGCCAATGATTTGGAGATAGCCAACAGATCATGTTAGTAATTGTTACTTTTGTATGGTGCCTCCAATTGTGTAAAAGAGCTAATATAAGAAGAAAAGTTATCTGTGCACTATCCAAATATTCCATCGGCAATACGTAAAGTTCCTCATGGAGAGGGGCTACCAATTCCTAAAGCACCAGAATCCTTCGTGGTTGAGTCAAGTGAGGAAGAACCTGAAGCGTGTAGTCACGTACAGTTGTAAGAGATAGCCCTTTCCTCGAATACAAGAGAAAAGCCAAGAGAAGCAAAACCGACACAAACTGAAGACAAAACTAGTGAGAATCCTAAGTATTAAAATGATTCAACTTAGCTTATGGCTATAATTGTTCTTGGTAATCCTATGCAATATATTATGCCATTTAGGCTTTGTTATGTAGTCAATATCACTTGCTTTATATTTGTGGAAAGACATCTATCTATATAATTATTGTGCATTATGTAGTCATTACGCCTATAGTAGAAAACTTTCCGTTTACAGAAAAACTAGAGCCAATTGACAAATTTCATTATTATATTTACTCAGAATGTGAAATTCATTAAGAAATGGATCCTTTTGTTTCCAAAACTGGCAAAAAATAAAAATTTGTTGAACAGTGTAATCTGCCAGCACCCTATGACAAAATGGAACCCACCAGCAGTGTGAGGAGACCTGCAAGTGGCACATGGCAGAGTGTGGCGATGGAGACAGCAGCAATGGGAGGCCGTACAGGGACCCATGAGACACTCTGGACCTGGCAGCAGCATGAGGAGGCGGTACAGGGGCCCATGGCAGATTACGGGCCTGGCAGCAGCAATGGGAGGCCCGTAATCTGCCAGCACCCTATGACAAAATGGAAACCCACCAGCAGTGTGAGGAGACCTGAAAGTGGCACATGGCAGAGTGTGGCGATGGAGACAGCAGCAATGGGAGGCCGTACAGGGACCCATGAGAGACTCTGGACCTGGCAGCAGCATGAGGAGGCGGTAAAGGGGCCCATGGCAGATTACGGGGGGGCCTGGCAGCAGCAATGGGAGGCCCGTAATCTGCCAGCACCCTATGACAAAATGGAACCCACAGCAGTGTGAGGAGACCTGAAAAGTGGCACATGGCAGAGTGTGGCGATGGAGACAGCAGCAATGGGAGCCGTACAGGGACCCATGAGACACTCTGGACCTGGCAGCAGCATGAGGAGGCGGTACGGGGGCCCATGGCAGATTACGGGCCTGGCAGCAGCAATGGGAGGCCCGTAATCTGCCAGCACCCTATGACAAAATGGAACCCACCAGCAGTGTGAGGAGACCTGAAAGTGGCACATGGCAGAGTGTGGCGATGGAGACAGCAGCAATGGGAGGCCGTACAGGGACCCATGACACACTCTGGACCTGGCAGCAGCATGAGGGAGGCGGTACGGGGGGCCCATGGCAGATTACGGGCCTGGCAGCAGCAATGGGAGGCCCGTAATCTGCCAGCACCCTATGACAAAAATGGAACCCACCAGCAGTGTGAGGAGACCTGAAAGTGGCACATGGCAGAGTGTGGCGATGGAGACAGCAGCAATGGGAGGCCGTACAGGGACCCATGACACACTCTGGACCTGGCAGCAGCATGAGGAGGCGGGTACAGGGGGCCCATGGCAGATTACGGGCCTGGCAGCAGCAATGGGAGGCCCGTAATCTGCCAGCACCCTATGACAAAATGGAACACCACCAGCAGTGTGGAGAGACCTGAAAGTGGCACATGGCAGAGTGTGGCGATGGAGACAGCAGCAATGGGAGGCCGTACAGGGACCCATGAGACACTCTGGACCTGGCAGCAGCATGAGGAGGCGGTACAGGGGCCCATGGCAGATTACGGGCCTGGCAGCAGCAATGGGAGGCCCGTAATCTGCCAGCACCCTATGACAAAATGGAACCCACCAGCAGTGTGAGGAGACCTGAAAGTGGCACATGGCAGAGTGTGGCGATGGAGACAGCAGCAATGGGAGGCCGTACAGGGACCCATGAGACACTCTGGACCTGGCAGCAGCATGAGGAGGCGGTACGGGGGCCCATGGCAGATTACGGGCCCTGGCAGCAGCAATGGGAGGCCCGTAATCTGCCAGCACCCTATGACAAAATGGAACCCACCAGCAGTGTGAGGAGACCTGAAAGTGGCACATGGCAGAGTGTGGCGATGGAGACAGCAGCAATGGGAGGCCGTACAGGGACCCATGACACACTCTGGACCTGGCAGCAGCATGATGAGGAGGCGGGTTACAGGGGCCCATGGCAGATTACGGGCCTGGCAGCAGCAATCGGTGGGAGGCCCGTAATCTGCCAGCACCCTATGACAAAATGGAACCCACCAGCAGTGTGAGGAGACCTGAAAGTGGCACATGGCAGAGTGTGGCGATGGAGACAGCAGCATGGGAGGCCGTACAGGGACCCATGGGAGGCCGTACAGGGACCCATGAGACACTCTGGACCTGACCTGGCAGCAGCATGAGGAGGCGGTACAGGGGGCCCAGGGGCAGATTACGGGCCTGGCAGCTGGGCAGCAAATGGGAGGCCCGTAATCTGCCAGCACCCTATGACAAAATGGAACCCACCAGCAGTGTGAGGAGACCTGAAAGTGGCACACATGGCAGAGTGTGGCGATGGAGAGACAGCAGCAATGGGAGGAGGCCGTACAGGGACCCATGAGACTCTCTGGGACCTGGCAGCAGCATGAGGAGGAGGCGGTACAAGGGGGCCCATGGCAGATTACGGGCCTGGCAGCAGCAATGGGAGGCCCGTAATCTGCCAGCACCCTATGACAAAATGGAACCCACCAGCAGTGTGAGGAGACCTGAAAGTGGCACATGGCAGAGTGTGTGGCGATGGAGACAGCAGCAATGGGAGGCCGTACAGGGGACCCATGAGACACTCTGGACCTGGCAGCAGCATGAGGAGGCGGTACAGGGGCCCATGGCAGATTACGGGCCTGGCAGCAGCAATGGGAGGCCCGTAATCTGCCAGCACCCTATGACAAAATGGAACCCACCAGCAGTGTGAGGAGACCTGAAAGTGGCACATGGCAGAGTGTGGCGATGGAGACAGCAGCAATGGGAGGCCGTACAGGGACCCATGACACACTCTGGACCTGGCAGCAGCATGAGGAGGCGGTACGGGGGCCCATGGCAGATTACGGGCCTGGCAGCAGCAATGGGAGGCCCGTAATCTGCCAGCACCCTATGACAAAATGGAACCCACCAGCAGTGTGAGGAGACCTGAAAGTGGGCACATGGCAGAGTGTGGCGATGGAGACAGCAGCAATGGGAGGCCGTACAGGGACCCATGAGACACTCTGGACCTGGCAGCAGCATGAGGAGGCGGTACGGGGGCCCATGGCAGATTACGGGCCTGGCAGCAGCAATGAATGGGAGGCCCGTAATCTGCCAGCACCCTATGACAAAATGGAACCCACCAGCAGTGTGTGAGGAGACCTGAAAGTGGCACATGGCAGAGTGTGGCGATGGAGACAGCAGCAATGGGAGGCCGTACAGGGACCCATGACACACTCTGGACCTGGCAGCAGCATGGAGGCCTACAGGGGCCCATGGCCCATGACAGATTACGGGCCTGGCAGCATGAGGAGGTCGGTACGGGGGCCCATGGCAGATTACGGGGCCTGGCAGCAGCAATGGGAGGCCCGTAATCTGCCAGCACCCTATGACAAAATGGAACCCACCAGCAGTGTGAGGAGACCTGAAAGTGGCACATGGCAGAGTGTGGCGATGGAGACAGCAGCAATGGGAGGCCGTACAGGGACCCATGAGACACTCTGGACCTGGCAGCAGCATGAGGAGGCGGGTACAGGGGCCCATGGCAGATTAGGGGGCCTGGCAGCAGCAATGGGAGGCCCGTAATCTGCCAGCACCCTATGACAAAATGGAAAACCACCAGCAGTGTGAGGAGACCTGAAAGTGGCACATGGCAGAGTGTGGCGATGGAGACAGCAGCAATGGGAGGCCGTACAGGGACCCATGACACTCTGGACCTGGCAGCAGCATGAGGAGGCGGTACGGGGGCCCATGGCAGATTACGGGCCTGGCAGCAGCAATGGGAGGCCCGTAATCTGCCAGCACCCTATGACAAAATGGAACCCACCAGCAGTGTGAGGAGACCTGAAAGTGGCACATGGCAGAGTGTGGCGATGGAGACAGCAGCAATGGGAGGCCGTACAGGGACCCATGAGACACTCTGGACCTGGCAGCAGCATGCATGAGGGGTCGGTACGGGGGCCCATGGCAGATTACGGGCCTGGCAGCAGCAATGGGAGGCCCGTAATCTGCCAGCACCCTATGACAAAATGGAACCCACCAGCAGTGTGAGGAGACCTGAAAGTGGCAAATGGCAGAGGTGGCGATGGAGACAGCAGCAGCAATGGGAGGCCGTACAGGGACCCATTGAGACACTCTGGACCTGGCAGCAGCAGCATGAGGAGGCGGTACAGGGGCCCATGGCAGATTACGGGCCTGGCAGCAGCAATGGGAGGCCCGTAATCTGCCAGCACCCTATGACAAAATGGAAACCCACCAGCAGTGTGAGGAGACCTGAAAGTGGCACATGGCAGAGTGTGTGTGGCGATGGAGACAGCAGCAATGGGAGGCCGTACAGGGACCCATGAGACACTCTGGACCTGGCAGCAGCATGAGGAGGCGGTACAGGGGCCCATGGCAGATTACGGGCCTGGCAGCAGCAATGGGAGGCCCGTAATCTGCCAGCACCCTATGACAAAATGGAACCCACCAGCAGTGTGAGGAGACCTGAAAGTGGCACATGGCAGAGTGTGGCGATGGAGACAGCAGCAATGGGAGGCCGTACAGGGACCCATGAGACACTCTGGACCTGGCAGCAGCAGCATGATGAGGAGGCGGTACAGGGGCCCATGGCAGATTACGGGCCTGGCAGCAGCAATGGGAGGCCCGTAATCTGCCAGCACCCTATGACAAAATGGAAACCCACCAGCAGTGTGAGGAGACCTGAAAGTGGCACATGGCAGAGTGTGGCGATGGAGAGACAGCAGCAATGGGAGGGCCAGGTACAGGGACCCATGAGACACTCTGGACCTGGCAGCAGCATGAGGAGGCGATGGGTACAGGGGCCCATGGCAGATTACGGGCCTGGCAGCAGCAATGGGAGGCCCGTAATCTGCCAGCACCCTATGACAAAATGGAACCCACCAGCAGTGTGAGGAGACCTGAAAGTGGCACATGGCAGAGTGTGGCGATGGAGACAGCAGCAATGGGAGGCCGTACAGGGACCCATGAGACACTCTGGACCTGGCAGCAGCATGAGGAGGCGGTACAGGGGCCCATGGCAGATTACGGGCCTGCAGCAGCAATGGGAGCCCGTAATCTGCCAGCACCCTATGACAAAATGGAACCCCCACCAGTGAGGTGTGAGGAGACCTGAAAGTGGCACATGGCAGAGTGTGGCGATGGAGACAGCAGCAATGGGAGGCCGTACAGGGACCCATGAGACACTCTGGACCTGGCAGCAGCAGCATGAGGAGGCGGTACGGGGGCCCATGGCAGATTACGGGCCTGGCAGCAGCAATGGGAGGCCCGTAATCTGCCAGCACCCTATGACAAAATGGAACCCACCAGCAGTGTGAGGAGACCTGAAAGTGGCACATGGCAGAGTGTGGCGCGATGGAGACAGCAGCAATGGGAGGCCGTACAGGGACCCATGAGAGACTCTGGACCTGGCAGCAGCATGAGGAGGAGGCGGGTACGGGGGCCCATGGCAGATTACGGGCCTGGCAGCAGCAATGGGAGGCCCGTAATCTGCCAGCACCCTATGACAAAATGGAACCCACCAGCAGTGTGAGGAGACCTGAAAGTGGCACATGGCAGAGTGTGGCGATGGACAGCCAGCAGACATGGGCCCCCTGGCCGTACGCTTGACTTTCTGGCCACATAGTGGACATACGGCTACGTTTACTTCCTCGGGCGGCTTGACGAAAAAATTGCCACACTGCCGAGTAGGAAACTTTGCCCCCGCTACTCCTCACTGGCTGACTGCTACTTCCTCCGTGCACACCGGCACCACTACTGGCCGTGGTGGTAGGCTGCAGTGGATCTGGTGCTCTACTCCGTGGCGTTTGCCTCCACTGACACTGCTGCGACCCTGCTGCCTCCTGGGCAACCCACCGACTGTTTTGCTCACTGCCAAGCTGGCACCCTCTTCTCCTGATGATGCGGAAGCAATAGCCTGATGACGACGAGGCTGCCAAGTGCGATCAGCCTCATCATCATCAATTAGGGTCTCCGCCTCACTACTAGCCCCTCGGCTGCCTGTGTGTGGGTCAGGAGACAGACCTGTCTCTAGACCGGCTACCGAGCCACTCTCCTCGCAGTACTTCTTCGCCTGGCTGCTGAAGAGGCGGATGTCTCCCCCCGTTCCTGACCGCCCTCTGTTAGCTCTTCCTCACTGTACAGTGGGGCTGAGCCCACAGCATGCGATACTTCGCTTGGTGAGGGAACACCAAAGGACAGGGGCAGGTAGAGGACACGTGATTTCAGTGGGCTTGCTCCCGGGCCATGCCAACTAACGGTTGTGTCTGACGTACCCACCGACCGTTGGCTGTAGGTGTCAGAGGTGACCTGGGAAGAGGAAGACGACCGAGCCAACCAATCGATGACGGCAGGGTTGTCGGTGGAGACACGACCGCTGGATGACACCGGGAGCACTGGCCTCTGGCTGCGACTAGTGCTGCCTCGACCCCTTCCTCTGCTGCCACGTCTGCTCGCTCCCTGAAACATTGCCTCCTCTGCCACTCCTCTGCGTGTTGTCTGACATACTCTTTAATTCAACGATTCTGTGTCCCTGAGTAACGATTCTGTCCCTGTCCCTGAGTAACAATTCTGTGTCCCTGAGTAACAATTCTGTGTCCCTGAGTAACAATTCTGTGTCCCTGAGTAACAATTCTGTGTCCCTGAGTAACAATTCTGTGTCCCTCAGTAACAATTCTGTGTCCCTCAGTAACAATTCTGTGTGTCCCTGAGTAACAATTCTGTGTCCCTCAGTAACAATTCTGTGTCCCTCAGTAACAATTCTGTGTCTGTCCCTGAGTAACAATTCTGTGTCCCTGAGTAACAATTCTGTGTCCCTGAGTAACAATTCTGTGTCCCTGAGTAACAGTTCTGTGTCCCTGAGTAACAATTCTGTGTCCCTGAGTAACAATTCTGTGTCCCTGAGTAACAATTCTGTGTCCCTCAGTAACAATTCTGTGTCTGTCCCTCAGTAACAATTCTGTGTGTCCCTGAGTAACAATTCTGTGTCCCTGAGTAACAATTCTGTGTGTCCCTCAGTAACAATTCTGTGTCCCTCCTCAGTTAACAATTCTGTGTCTGTCCCTGAGTAACAATTCTGTGTCCCTGAGTAACAGTTCTGTGTCCCTGAGTAACAATTCTGTGTCCCTGAGTAACAATTCTGTGTCCTGAGTAACAATTCTGTGTCCCTCAGTAACAATTCTGTGTCCCTGAGTAACAATTCTGTGTCCTGTCCCTGAGTAACAATTCTGTGTCCCTCAGTAACAATTCTGTGTCCCTCAGTAACAATTCTGTGTCTGTCCCTGAGTAACAATTCTGTGTCCCTGAGTAACAGTTCTGTGTCCCTGAGTAACAATTCTGTGTCCCTGAGTAACAGTTCTGTGTCCCTGAGTAACAATTCTGTGTCCCCTGAGTAACAATTCTGTGTCCCTGAGTAACAATTCTGTGTCCCTCAGTAACAATTCTGTGTCCCTCAGTAACAATTCTGTGTCCCTGAGTAACAATTCTGTGTCCCTGAGTAACAATTCTGTGTCCCTGAGTAACAATTCTGTGTCCCTCAGTAACAATTCTGTGTCCCTCAGTAAATTCTGTGTCTGTCCCTGAGTAACAATTCTGTGTCCCTGAGTAACAATTCTGTGTCCCTGAGTAACAATTCTGTGTCCCTGAGTAACAATTCTGTGTCCCTGAGTAACAATTCTGTGTCCCTGAGTAACAATTCTGTGTCCCTCAGTAACAATTCTGTGTCCCTCAGTAACAATTCTGTCTGTCCCTGAGTAACAATTCTGTGTCCCTGAGTAACAATTCTGTGTCCCTGTCCCTGAGTAACAATTCTGTGTCCCTGAGTAACAATTCTGTGTCCCTCAGTAACAATTCTGTGTCCCTCAGTAACAATTCTGTGTCTGTCCCTGAGTAACAATTCTGTGTCCCTGAGTAACAATTCTGTGTGTCCCTGAGTAACAATTCTGTGTCCCTGAGTAACAATTCTGTGTCCCTCAGTAACAATTCTGTGTCTGTCCTGAGTAACATTCTGTGTCCCTGAGTAACAATTCTGTGTCCCTCAGTAACAATTCTGTGTCTGTCCCTGAGTAACAATTCTGTGTCCCTGAGTAACAGTTCTGTGTCCCTGAGTAACAGTTCTGTGTCCCTCAGTAACAATTCTGTGTCCCTCAGTAACAATTCTGTGTCCCTCAGTAACAATTTCTGTGTCCCTGAGTAACAATTCTGTGTCTGTGTCCCTGAGTAACAATTCTGTGTCCCTCAGTAACAATTCTGTCCCTCAGTAACAATTCTGTGTGTCCCTGAGTAACAATTCTGTGTCCCTGAGTAACAATTCTGTGTCCCTCAGTAACAATTCTGTGTCTGTCCCTGAGTAACAATTCTGTGTCCCTGAGTAACAGTTCTGTGTCCCTGAGTAACAGTTCTGTGTCCCTGAGTAAATTCTGTGTCCCTGAGTAACAATTCTGTGTCCCTCAGTAACAATTCTGTGTCCCTCAGTAACAATTCTGTGTCCCTCAGTAACAATTCTGTGTCTGTCCCTGAGTAACAATTCTGTGTCCCTGAGTAACAATTCTGTGTCCCTGAGTAACATTCTGTGTCCCTCAGTAACAATTCTGTGTCTGTCCCTGAGTAACAATTCTGTGTCCCTCAGTAACAATTCTGTGTGTCCCTCAGTAACAATTCTGTGTCTGTCCCTGAGTAACATTCTGTGTCCCTGAGTAACAGTTCTGTGTCCCTGAGTAACAATTCTGTGTCCCTCAGTAACAATTCTGTGTCCCTCAGTAACAATTCTGTCTGTCCCTGAGTAACAATTCTGTGTCCCTGAGTAACAATTCTGTGTCCCTGAGTAACAATTCTGTGTCCCTGAGTAACAATTCTGTGTCCCTCAGTAACAATTCTGTGTCCCTCAGTAACAATTCTGTGTCCCTGAGTAACAATTCTGTGTCCCTG